ATGAGGTCGAGGTGCAGGTGAGAGCCCGTCGCCGCAGAGATGCCGAAGCCGAGCGCATTCGCGGAGCCAAAAATCGCGGCCGACTTGAGCAGGGTCGGCTTCCCAGCGAGCGAGGCGGCCGCTCCGGCCGCGGCTGGCGCCGCAGCAGCAGCCTTGGCCGCGGTCGTGAGCATCCGCCTCCGGAGCATTCGTCGGCGATCGGTGCTGGCGGAGGTCGGATGCTGAAGCGCACAGCGTCACTTGGGCCCTGGCTTGGGCCGGCCAACAGCAGAAAAATCAAAGATGGGAACTCGAAAAATCAGAATCTGTCGTGTCCCTTGTCAGGAGCAGGAGAGCCCCACCTGTCCCCCTGATCGTCCTTCCAAAATCCTGCTCGTGCAGGTGGGGACCCTGTCCTCGTCCCATCCCTCGTTTGGCGTGTCTGTTTTCTTTCTTTCTTTAGAATCTAAATTGAAGAAAACACGCAAAAAAGAAACGGGACTTCGCGGTGCCAACACGCCACCTCAATCCGTCCAACAGCGCGACCACTATGCTCTCCGCGCTCCTCGCCCTGCCCGCCTGGAATCCCGGCCACGACGCGTGCCCAACGGTCACAACCGTCGGCTCGGCCGACTTCAGCCTCGCCGAGTGGGTGCGCAAGAGCTGGTTTATTCAGGAGCAGCAGGTGCTCGACTTCCAGCCGGTGACCTCCAACTACTGCGTCGCCGCCACGTACAATCTGGAGGGCAAGACGGTACCATTCTTCAAGGGCAAGGTGGCGACGGTGTACAACTACGCCAACAACGACCAGGCGCGCGGCCTAGCCGTGGCGGAGGTAGAAGACTGCGCTCGCGCTCGCACGGGAGGAGAGAGAGAGAGAGAGAGAGATCTTTCGGTGCCACTGGCGAGAGGTCTCCCGGCGCGTGCCGGCAGGTGAACGGCCCGCTGACAAACGCCAAGAACATGACGCTCTGCGCGCGGGCCGTCAACACAACCGACTCGTCTCGCCTCGCCGTCGCGCCCTGCCTTTTGCCCAACATCTTAGCCGGGCCGTACTGGATCCTGGGCATCGGCAAGGCGGCCGACGGGAGCTACGACTGGGCGGTCGTCATCGGGGGGCAGCCCGACGTGAAGTGGGAGGACGGCTGCACCACAAAGGAGTCGGGCGTAAACAACGCGGGCCCGCGGCCCTAGATGCTGGAAAGCACAGCTCCCGCCGCATTCTGGCTGCAGGACCCGCGCACTGCGCGCATACACCCTCACCGCGCTCCGCCCCTCCTCCGGCCGGGGAAGGCTTGTGGCTCTTTCTCACGCAAACCCAGTCGCCGTCGCCCGGAGGCAAATTCGCAAAAATGCCACCCCCCTGCCCCAAGGGCGAAGGGGGAATTGCGGCGGCTTCGCGCCCTTGCACAAAGGGGGGAAGCAAGGGAGGGGGGGGC